CGGATTCGTATGCCTCCACGAGAGACTGGGGTTCTGGCGTTCCGAGGGGCCCTTGACCCAACTGCTCTACCCCTATGTTTATGTTTGAGCCAGTAGCAACAGTTGATTTCCCACTCAAATTTTGTTGTGTCCGGTACCCTTCCTCAGGTATTTTGGAGATTGGGTTGGTGCCTTTCCCTCCACCATCACCGGAGGTCTTACACTGCAGGGCGGATGTACGGGTTGGGGACTAGTCAGAGGGAGACCGGGGGTGCCCCCCCTTCCCGGGCTTCGGGTACTCCACCCTGCTGGTATCCGGGGAACCCAGGGGAATCCCGGGAGGGGCTTTGAACACCGACCACCCCCATACCTGGCAGCCCGCGGCCCCTCTTCCTGCCCATCGTTCCTGACAGACCCTCCTCAGTTTGGATATGCCCCCCATGTCAGCTGTCCCTCTTCGGTTTTAATACAACCTCGAATGTTAACCCTACAGGCTCTGACCAAGAGACAACGCAATATTCGGGCTTACTTGGAAGCATCTACCATGCCCACCCTATCCCCTGCAATACCCGAATCCATGGAGTCGCCTATTTCCTCAACAGAGTTAGAGGAGGCCATTAAACGCACCAATACTGGTAAGGCCCCGGGGCCGGATGGCTTCAACCTCTCCTACTTTAAAACCTTCTCAGGCCTGCTGACTACCCCCATGTTGGCTGCATGGAATTCAATTCGGGAGGGTGAACCCATGCCCAAGGAAGCACTATCGGCCAACATTGTAGTGATCCCCAAGCCAGACAAGGACCCCACGGCCTGTCCCAGCTACCGGCCGATCTCCCTATTGAATGTAGACACTAAGCTACTGGCTAAAGTCCTATCCATGCGACTGCTTCCTCATGTCACCTCCTTGGTCCTCATCAGCAACATCCCATGACTGTAACCCCCACACTCAGGCCGGGGTCGCGAGAGGATACCCTCCCCTTAAATCCGTTGCATTGATGCCAACGGGGTTCTCTCATGCTTCAATATACCATGTATGCTACCTTCTTGATGCTGCTTTGATGCATGTATACCATAAGCGCCCGGACCTGCGAGTCCCCACGGGCACAGTTTCCGTTTTTCTGTATACAACAAATAATCTGTTAACCTGACCTAAATAAAGAATTTATAAAAAAAAAATGGGGAGGGTACCTTGCCAGCGGATCTCCTGGCAAGGTAACATGTCCCCGTGTTGATGGGGTCATGGGCTTTATCCCCTACATCCAGTTTCATGGAGGATAAGGGGGTCTGCAGGGGGAATCCGGAATCCTTTAGAATAAGAGATCCCCAGATGTCTGCCCCATAAATGAATAAGTAAAAAAAATGAAGAATTTGAATAAACACATGGGCACTCCCAGATAGCAAGTAATTGAGCTGCAGGTTAGAAAATGACTTGGTAAACTATTGCAGACTTGCCAAGCTTCACAATTTTGTTGCACAATTACAGCAAGTCTGCATTGCAAGTCTCCAGACCAGCCAGCTTGCAGAGCTCTTGCTAAGACCTGCAGGACTCTTGCTGTAGACTTGACAAGCAAATTTGCAACAAATTCAAAAAGTGTCAACTAGAACTTGTGCTGCAAGTGTTCTGCAAGTCTACAACTTGCCAGGAATATGTGAAGCAAGTTAACAAAAATTACAATTTCACACTGCCACAAGTTTGTAGCAAGTTATGTTTGCTATCTGGGCTGTTGACAAAGTCCCACAGTGTAAATCCATCAACAATCACATCATCCAGTGATGTAGATTCATTATCAATCATGATGAGCAATGCTAGGATGACCTGCCAACAAAAGCACAACAATCCATACATGAGGATCCTCTTCTGCCGATACGTATATTGCAAATTTCCCTAGCCAGCAGCTGAATATAAACAATGGGTCCAGGATGCTGGCTGACATCATTGACCAAATATGGTCATGACAAAATATGGTTATTCTAGATTCCAGCTCCCAGATAAGCCTCCGCCTCACACGCCCCCACATCCACTGGGCTAGGGATATGGGGATGATAAGGGGATGAGGACCCTTTCCTGACCAGCCAGGCTGCATGCCCAAATAAGGGTCTAGAATGATTTTTTTTGCTTTGGTTTTCTCCTTAAAATCCACACCAGAGCCTGATCAAGGATAAGGGTCTGGTATGGATTTTGGGGGAGTACTACAGGGCATTTGTTTACAAGCAAAACAAAGTAGCAGGGAATATCATTTAGCAACTTTTATGTTCTAAATATCAGTTTTGCTGGAGTACATTGTACATGTGCTCAACTTCACGTATAGGTTTAACTCATCCTCAAAGTGTTAAGGCAGGGCTCAAAATTTCCAATCGCCCGCTCGCATTTGGCGAGTGGAAATTCAGTCAGGCACGTGATCACGGATCGCGTACCTGACTTATGAGAGCAGCCGCTCATTGCTGTCCTGTCTCCGTTCCTTTCAGCCGGAGCTCTGACAGTTCTGAGCTCCGTTCGAAAGGATGGATTACTAATCCATGCAGACCTTACTAATCCATCCTTTCGAACGGAGCTCAGAACTGTCAGAGCTCCGGCTGAAAGGAACGGAGACAGGACAGCAATGAGCGGCTGCTCTCATAAGTCAGGTAAGCAGTCCCGGTCAGTACCTGACTTAATCATGAGGGATCAGATTCGTGCCTCCTCCATGCATAACGGCAAGCAGGCGAGGGGGCTCTTTCTTTTATTTTATGTGGGCTGGGCTTATTTTATGTGGGGGGCAGAGAAGGGTGGGGTATTATTATATATGTGGTGGCAGAGAACAGGGGGGAGAGAGTGTATTATTTTATGTGTTGTGGGGCAGAGAAGTGGGGAGAGAGTGTATTATTTTATATGCGGGGGCAGAGAACAGCGGGGTATTATTTTATATGTGAGGGGCAGAGAACAGGGGGGAGGGAGTGTATTTTTTTATATGTGGGCGCAGAGAACGGCGGGTATTATTTTATATGTGGGGGGCAGAGAACAGGGGGGAGAGAGTTTATAATTTAATATGTGGGGGCAGAGAACAGTGGGGTATGTGGAGGGCAGCAATGTTTACATTGCTTTATGTTAATATTGTTGTTGTTAATATTTATTTTTGTAACTTTATTCTGCCTTTAACATTTAAAAGTGTAATTTCATAAGATAATTTAAGAGGGTGGATTTAGGGGCGGAGTTAAGACCGAGGCAGGGTAGGGGTTAGGTGGGGCAACTGGTGGCGGGTAACTCTCAAGGCCTGGCTAGTAGCTCAGGACTTGAAATGTTGAGCCCTGCTTACAGGAATTGTGTAATATTACCCTTAAAGTCTTATTAAATTACCTGTTCCTTGATTAAAGGTATTTTTTTTAAATTTATTCTGCATTGGCACACGTCTCCCCATGGCAATGCCCAGCAACTTGTGCCCTTTTTCACCAAAAAGCTTGCAAACTGGCCTTAAAAAGGGTAGAATAAAATTACATTATTTGGTTCCCATAAACTGCAATGGGATTCAGGCATTATGTTTTTTCAGTTGTTCAGCTCAGTTTGCTCATCACTACTGCCAACAACCAAAATTTACAGAATGCACAATGTATGTTAATAAATGTTGCAGGAAGATAACCATAGTTGCCCATCATCAGTCAGTATGGTTCTAATAGGAATATTGTGATCAAGGAAAGGCAGTGCCTGTGTGGAGCCCTATTGATAACAGGTTTAGTAAATATGTGTATAGATGATCTGATTGACTTGCATGAGATAACCACCTCTTAAGATCAAGCTACCCTTAAGGTAAACTAAATAGCTAACCTTGGATTTACCCCTCTGGGTTTCTCTCCTTTGTGTCCCTGCACTCATCCTGGAAATATTTTGCACAGCCATACTCTAACAGGACACACAACTAAAAACAATGTATTTTTCAAATTTGTGGGAACATGTTATGCTCCTGAAAAATTGGAATGAATATCCAGAATACGCATGCTCTCCTGTAACCAGGGTAGTTGCACTAGGATATATTTACAGAAATTAACCAGCTGCAGCAATATCTATCAACGTGATCAAGTGTAAGCTGGGGTGCTGCGCTTGGTTGTGTGTGCTCCACCTTTTAATTGGTCTTTAAGTTGTGTGAAAATGTGAAAATAACACAAACTAAATACAGTGCCAGTGATCAAATCCTAATTGCGGCTGTATAATGAAAATACAAGTCGAAAAAAGGAAGGTAAATGTGTTCGTGAATAAAAATTATTAAATATTAAGTTAACAATGTAAATATCGCAAAATATGTGTAGCATGTGTAAATAAGACCAATTAAAATAAGACCAATTAAAAGGTGGAGCACACACAACCAAGCGCAGCACCCCGGCTTACACTTGATCACGCATGCTCTCCTGTCCACAGACTATCCAGCAAATGTATAATAACCGACATGGACTGTAACTTGATATATCAGAAGTAAAAGTAATTTATGTATAGCGTAAAGGTGTTGGATGGGGACTAATAAAAATATGGGGCTGAGCGATATAAACATCGCAGCCGATTTTAATATTTTTATAAATTACAAAAAGTTTGTGTCTGATTACTTAAAAATTCTGTTATCCTTCTATTTATCCTTATTTAATGAAACTACATTTTGGCTTTACGATTGGCTACTGTGAGCCAGAGCTACACATCCAACTGGTTGCTAAGTTGAATTGATGTGTAGCCACCAACAGGCATAAATCATATTTATTTTATTGTTCTGATAAAGCCATATTACTTTTTGGGCATCCTAATTTATTCAATGTCTTCCTGTTAATGATTGGATCCCAATCATACACTACATATCTGTTTATTTATAAAAAGTGTCAGGCAGTTTAATATCAGCTCTTTGCAAATCTTGGAAATTATCCTTTAGAAATGTACCACAGAATATATGTTTTTGATGAGAAAAGGGAAAAAGTTGATAGAAAACACAGCCCATGGCATAACCCGGTACTTTTAACATATAACATTTTATCATCCATGGATTACTTGAGTCAATATTTTGTTATTGTTAAATGACATGGAATTCTCTAAATGCAGTGCCACAGAGGAGCTTAGTAAAAGCAGATGTAATTGACTTTTCAACACAAACCTCGGCAATCTTTTCAGCATTGAAGACTCGGGTATCATTTTCTGTACTTTTATGTTTGTATAGTGCATTCCAAATTGCACATCTAAGGCCATCTCTGTTTTTATCCCACTTAAGTTCATGACAGATTTTAACCAGATTGTAAACAGCACAATACGAAATCATCCAAAAGTCTTCTGAAAAGAAAAACAAAAAACCTCAGATATGCTTTTATTCACCATCAAGACCTTGTCCATATAACCTGTGTAATATTTGCCTGAGAACCAATGTGATGACAATTCAAGGGTCCATAATGCATACTGGAGAACTGTTGCTGAAAGAGTATTTCTCAACAGCACTGTGAGCACTGTAAGCATGTCCTATGGCAGAACAATAACTAATAAGACTAATGAAAACCCTTAAATATTTACATCTGCCCAGTGCATAGATAATTTGTGCAGGTATATAGGACTCCAATAGAAACTATTCATGTGTAGAACATAATCAGTACAATACAGGTATAGACACATTCCTTTACTTTCTTTATCGAATTAAGGTGTTTTTACTATATAACTGATGGGCAAAAATAATTTTGCTTTGCAATGTGTATAATATTTGTGCACAAAGGTGTTTATATATCAGTGGTTTTACACAAGATTCGAACAACATATTCTAGATTCCCACATTTTTCTAATTGACTCTTATATGAAGAATGTGCAACTCTTGTAGGGGGGGTAGTGGAATGAAGTGGCAAGTTTTGACAGCACCAGAAATAGTCAGTCCTTTGCTGATCAAAAAGGTCATGTCTTCTGGAATCACGCTATGAACTACAGGCTGTAGCAGACCTGTGAGGGCATGCAATGTATTCACAATAGCACTTTCTTTTGTGACAAAGTCACTTTAGTGTCCTTCTATACCACCTAATGAAGGATTTCACTGTCATAAATGCGTTTCTCACATTATCTCTGCTGCCTTTGGGACAATAGCATCCTGTTTAAAAGACAAATTCCTTTTTTCCTCATTATCACCAGAATGCAAAATATCATGATGAATAAGGGAAATGTTCACTTTAACCCCTTCATGACTGAGCTTGTTTTTGGTTTCTGTTCGTAAATGACTGACACACTTTTGACATTTTTGCTGTGTGATTCTTCCACGTCAGTAATATACTTTCTTACAAAGTGCACCCACACATATTATATATTGTTTTTTAGAGGACAGATAGGGCTATATATTTATATCACATATGTGTGTCTAACGCCTCACTTAGGACAAATACAAATTAAAAAAAGAGGAAAAAACGTAAAAAAAAACTTTTTTTCCCAGTTTTGATTTGTAGTATTTTTTTTTAACAAAACCAGCACAGCTAAAAAAAAATGCAATACATACATTCATTTATTTGTCCCTTATTTTTAATTTTTTTACACTTTTCACTATTTTTTTTAATTTATTTACACTTTTCACTTTTTTTATACTGACAAATTTTATTTATTTAATTATATCAGGCAGTCATTGTGAATTAATCTCACTATTACTGCTTGATAAATTAATACATTTTTTTTATTATCAGGCTGCTTCAAACTTCAGAACAGCCGATAATAAGTTAGTGACACTGATCCTGCAGCAGTTCAGGATTCAGCTGTCAGTGAATGTTTCAGAAAACTTAAACATTCTACTTTCAAGAATAGATACATTATGTGTCTAATACATAACATTTTGTATCTATTCTTGAAAGTCAAAAGATAAAAAAAAAAAAAGCCAGTATAGCTTGAGAGAGATATCTCTCGATCTATACGAGCTGTCAGAATGCCGGCAAAAGCCGACATGTGTGTCTGCTTTGCTGTGACTCTCAGACACCCGATATTAAGGTATCGGGTGTCTGAAAAAGGTTAACCCTTTCAGTAATGGATCTCTAGATAGTTAGACATCTATTACTGAAAGGTAACCGCTGATTCTCAGCGGTTAGCAGCCTTCTAGTGCAGCAAATAACTTGTCACGTACAGTGTACGTGACGAGTCATTTGGTCCCTTTGTGGCTGGACGTACAGTGTACGTCTCCCGTCACGAAGGGGTTAAAGAAGCATGAATAGATTGATTTCCCTGTAGGATCTATTGTCTCATCCTATTTTCATACGAATACTTTTACCAAACTCTACCATTATAATTTCCTTTTTTGCTTTGTGCATTACTTTTTGGCTTTTTGCCTACAGCCCTGCTTTTCATGTGATGTTATGACATGAATTAAATGTTATTTACATATATTGTATTTTTTATTGATGTAAATTGCCATTTTAACAACCTTCTTGAAGCTCCTGCAATGGCTTTAAACCTGTGTATAAACGTAAACATAAGCCCAATAAAAGCTTTTGTACAGTAATAAAATTGGTAATCAAGTTGAACAGGTTTCTTTTTGTATTTGTCTTAAGTCAGAAAATACATTTCCATTGTATTACTGAGTGAATTCCTGTATCTTAAATCAATAAAACTCATTCATATGCTTATAATTGGATCTCTAAAGCCCAATAAATATTTAACTTGCATGATAGAAAAAATATTTTTTCTTGTACTGACAATACAGAAACACATTTTTTTCAATATACATAACCTGATGGATATGCTTTCTCAATTTAAATCTGATAATATAAATATATTACATTCACCATGCCCAAGGTGCTGGTGGCTATAAAGTCAGAATATTCTGTTATATGTATAGGAAAAGTTTAATAATACAGCTTCTCCATTATTCATAGTTAAAGAAATGAAAGCATTTATGGGGGGAAAAAACTAAGCAACATTTTGTTCCAGCATCAGAGTTTAAAATATTCAGACAATACATGCATTTTTTTGTTGAACGTAAGTTATAGAGATATTGTAACTAATATTTGTTTGCAAAAAAAAAACAAAACGTCCTTTAATTCCCACCATACTTCTCAATTGGATAAAAAAGGTAAAAAGTAATGTAATGTATGCAAACTACAATTTTTACTCTTGGTTGAGCAATAATTAAGACATTTCTTCTTATTGACAGTGTTTTTTGACACTAGTATATTTACTGTAATGTAGGTTAAACCAATATACAATACTGTATATTCTTCCAATATGTCAACACATTCTATCAACATGCTAATACTAAAACAGCGTTATTTATGCAATGATGGTATTATGATCTTCTGTGCCCTTTAAACCCATTCTCTAACATACGTAAAACCCCTATATAACAATTTAAAATATTCTAAAAAAGAAAAAAAAAGAAAAAAAAATTAGCTGCTGACCCTGTTAAAATATCACTTCAAAATTCCACAACATATCTATAAAATGCAGTAATAAGTGAAATCCCAAACAACTTGATCCCCTAACAGAGGACTATTGTGGACTAATTACAGTAAACTGTAACATTCTGTATTCTGCAAACAAACATTGAAACAGCACTATAAACTATTACTTTCAACACCACCGAATACAGGAATTGGAACAATGTGTGAGTGACCTAGAAGGCCCAAATGCTTGCAACTCAGAACTAATAAGAAGTTCAAGCACTCCTTATCTTGTCTATGGGAGGAAAATTGGGGGACCTGGCAAACATTGTGTATGAACGGGAACACATAATCATATGGTGGGGCTTTCTCAATTTTGACTGCAAAGTGTAAAAAAACCTGCACCCGTTGTTGTGTTTTGCTTACCCATTGCTGACTTGGCCTGCTCCTGGATTCATTTCTGCTCTGACTCCCCATTGTGGTCCAGCTTGTTCATGACACTATCTTCATCTGCCTTCCTGTTGCTAACTCAGCTAGTTCCTGACCCCTAATCTGCCTTTGCTGATCTCCCAGTGTGACCCTGGCCTCCTTCTTTCACAACTCTGATGGCCTCCCAGTGTGACCTCGGCCTGCCTCCTGACCACGATCCAGCTTTTGCACTGTCTTTTCAGTTGCTGACCACCGCCTGTCCCAGACCATGCTTCCAGCCTTTTCTAGGTTTCAGTGTGACTTCTCCTGTGGTTCTACTCCTTGGTGGTCTTCCTGTCAGTTAGCAAGAACCCCTCTAGTCTTCTGCTAGAATTGAGCTTCTGAACTGGACTTTTGGCACACATGCAACTCCTTGTCCTCTCATTCCCTGTTCTCTGGAGTTGTTTGGACCAGAGGTGTAATGGAACCTTTCTTGTCATCTTGGCCTCTAACCAGATATGTGATAGAGAGCAACCATGTTTATGTACCTTGCAAAAACCTACTAGCAAACTTATTTGATCAGTATAAGATACCTCACATTATCTCTGTTATATATCCTACATGTACATATCTATCTATAGCCAATGACTCTTTCAGAGCACCACTGATTTGAGAGCTTCAGACATCACTCATCTTGTGAACCTTAGTCAGATGAGGGTGATAAATCACTCAACATTCTTCTTTATAAAAACCTGAAATGAGTTTAACACATTTTTTAAAAGTGACAGATGCACTTATACAAAAGTAGTGAAATTGCAGCATTGACAACATTTTACTGTTAATGTTTATCAATAGTAAACAGTTAAAAGCATAGTTTAAAAGAACATTTTCCCTAAATTATTGCACAATACTGATTATGTCCAACACTAATTATACAAACTGAAAAAATATAAAATGAAAAATGTTATGTTTTGTTTAAAATTTCCAGTACCACAGAAGTATGAAATGACCGTTAACACAAAATGATGTAAAGAATTTAATATGTTCTCTTCATCTCCCATTAAAACAGAGTATTTTATTTTCATTTTGTAATATCTATATAAGATTTATTACATCAATATTGTTCTTTTTATTTGTTCTACTTAATTGCAAACTGTATAATGTAATAAACATTGCTTGTGCAAGCAAATAGTATTAAGGATATTAGTTCTGTCAAACATTTTGTCTTGTTTTTAAATGAACATAATTAAACAACAATAGTTTTGAAATATAATATGCCGTATATGAACAAAAATATCCTCATACACTTCTGTATGAATAAGAAAGCATTAAAGGAAACTTGAACTTAAAAGGGATAAAGAGGCTACGTATGCTCATAGCCTGGCTTCCTGTGTCCTCAATACTTCTAAGTCACTGGAATAAGAAGGCAGCTAAAGAAATCAGAGGAAAGTCAGGACTTCTGACCAAGTCTTAGTTCACAAAGGCTATAGTATTGGAAAGTGTTTTCAAGTACTGAACAATGTTATTAATTACACTGATATATTTATACCATTTATGTGGGCCACTTTGATACATATTTTGGGATGTTTACAATGTGGATTAAAACTGACCTTGTACTCAAAGCTAGGCCTGTTTTTAGCATGGCCGTTACCCCCTATTTTGAAAAAACACCAGTGGGAAAAAACTTAGATGCTATAGTTACCCTGTACTCTGGTTCCATAGTGCAGGGGGCGATGTCATCAACCACCAGACTAGATCCCAGGTAATGCTGGGTACTCAAAGTTTGGGCTATTCAACAGTCCAGGGCATCTCACCAGAAGGATAATGGAGCCATCATCTAGGTATCATGAATGGAAGCTGGAGGAAAGGAAATATAACTTTTTCCCCCGAATAGTTGTTTTTAGCAGTTTATTGGAGCATTTTTAGCAAGGGTGAGGTGGGCTTCACTATTTAGATGAAATATCCGCTTTAATAAATGTGTTTTTTTATGCAACCATTTGCACCGATCAGTTTAATGCATCTTTATATAGCTACTCCAACTAGTAGGATTACATAGTGTTTACATTTCTGAGAAGGTGTTTTGCTTTGCAAACGTTTACAGAAATTTGTTTATCTGATTATTGTAGTAAAGCTAATGGAACTGACCCAGTAGTATTGTTGGTACTATTGAGTGCTAAAAGAATTAAACTGTAAGGCCTAAACCTATCATCTTCACATAATGTAACATGGGCATACTGGAAACCATTTTGCTATTTCTATTCTATCAGTATAGAAGGTGAATTTGAGTTCATGGTTTCAAGACAAAGACTCTAACATCAGCCATTCTCAAATCCTTACAGCACAGATTTCCAAGTTGTAAATTTTGGGAATTCTGAGTTGTACCAGACAACAGCAAGATAAGGACTGACCATGGTACCAGTCTGCAAGATTAATGGAGGAGGCCATGTCGCGGGCTTAACAAAGCACAAAGAACTATTTACCACAATATTTATTTTTTCTTTCTCATCTTTTCAACATATGAAAAAGAGTATTAAAAGCTACGTTGTACACAGTATTATTATTATTTGACAGAATTATTATAATCAATAATGTCAATTGTATTATTATTATTATTATTGCATGAGGAGAATACTTATTTAATTAAGTAATTTGGTTTTTATACTGCAATATTCAACTTATATATTTTATCTATATTAGTTGGTTTTACTAATTGACATATATTGGTGTATTGTATTAATATGGTGTTTTCAAAATTACAAATGATTATATTAAGTAGATTATTATATTATTATTTCTGTAATCAGTGAAAGAATTTAAGTAACTACAGTCTCTCAGTACAAATGACCTCACCCTCAATGTAAGTAGAAGATATATAGATATAACTTTCTCAAACTTTCTTAAGCAGTATATCGTCTTAAAGAGATACTCGTCTCCAGAATGTCAGGGAGTCATGTCAGATACATAGCCATTTCTTAAATTGATGTTTTCTTGAATGAGCTTATGTCAAAGGTCATCTCATGATATGATACAGAAATTTTAAGGAAAAATATCAAAATTATTCCTAGCCCAACATTGCCCTCTTCAGGAAATTGATGACAGCAACATGTCCCAAAAAAGTTAGGACAGGGCAACAAAAAGCTAGCAAAGTAAGTGCTACTAACAAGAAAGAGCTGAAAGAAAATTTTGCAACTGGTCAGTAACATGATTGGATATAAAAAGAGCATCTTAGAGAGAGTCAGAGTGTCTCAGAATTAAAGATGGGCAGAGGTTCACCAGTCTGTGAACAGCTGCATCTAAAAATTGTCGAACAATTTCAGAATTATGGTCCTCAAAGTAAAATTGCAAAGACTTTAAATATATCATAATTTACAGTACATAATATCATCAAACGATTCAGAGAATCTGAAGCAATCTCTGTGTGCAAAGGACAAGGCCAAAACGCAATATTGGATGCCCTTGATCTTTGGGCCCTTAGACGGCACTGCATTAAAAACAGGCATGATTCTGTGATGGACCTCACTGGATGGGCTCAGGAACTTCCAAAAATTACTGTCTGTGAACACAGTTTGCTGTGCCGTCCAAAAATGCAATGTAAAGCTCTATCATACAAAGAAAAAGCCACATCTGAACAAGTCTTCTCTGCGCCAAATCTCATTTAAAGTGGTAAAGTGCTCTGTGGCCAGACAAATTGAAATTTGACCTTCTTTTTGGCAACCATGCACGCCACGTCCTCCAGACTAAAGAGGAAAGGGACTTTCCAGCTTGTTATCAGTGCTCCGTTCAAAAGTCTAAATCCCTGATGGTATGGGGGGTGCATTAGTGTGTATGGAATGGGCTGCTTGCACATCTGGAAAGGCAATATCAATGCTGAAAGATATTTTTTTCAGGGAAGTGCTTGCATATTTCAGCAGGACAATGTTAAACCGCATGCTGCATCTATGAGAACGGCATGGCTTTCTAGTAGAAGAGTCTGGGTGCTTAACTGGCTTGTCTGCAATCCAGACCTTTCACCAGTCTGGATTGCACCCAGAACTGTTGAGCAGTTAGAATCCTAAATTAGGCAAGAATGGGACAACATCCCTCTCCCAAAACTCCAGCAACTCCTCAGTTCCCAGTTGTTTACAGTGTTGTTAAAAAAGAGGGAATGCTACTCCGTGGTAAACATGGTCCTGTCCCAACTTTTCGGAGACATGTTGCTGGCATCAATTCAAAATCACCTTATTTTTTCTTAAAATGGTAAATTTTCTTGGTTCAAACATTTGATATGTTTTCTATTGTAAATCAAATATAGATTTCTAAGATTTGCAAATCATTGCATTCTGTTTTTATGTAGATTTTACACGGCGTCCTAACTTTTTGGGAATTGGGGTTGTATATATAAATATACTTACTGGCATCTGATATATCTGGAGTCTTATAAAACAATAAACTATTTAAACTTGCTTCTTTGTTGGACTCATTCAAAGTATCTTCACTTTTGAAGCCAATGAAAGCATATTTTTGGATATCCGATGTAGATCCATGCAAACAAACATCTGCAAGTACCATAGCATACATGCAGATGATTTCCCAATGCCGTTCATGACTTGAGGACTATTGAGACAGAATATTGTGAAAAAGCATACAATTATTAAATGTCATTGGTCATGAAGCATATTTTACTTACAAAAGCACATGCAAATGATAATGAGCTAGTTTGAAGAGTTTGTTATATTGTGATCACATACACCAAACAGATATTCATTGTTATACCTCCTATAGGCTGAGCTAGAGTTGACCAAACACATGTAAGCACCATTAGGTTTTCCCAAATTATTGCTATGTATAACCAAAGTTTTCAATAAAACTGTCAAGGTCATATTTACAGAAAAACTGTAGCCAGGCTATGCACATTCAATTTTTTACATATTCTTAACAAGCAGCTGATAAGCTTTAACCCTTTCACTGCCAAGCACTGAGAAACGCTTTTAACATCACCTGGCCACACCGTCTTTGTAATGTTTCCCATTGTTTTGATTTTCTATTGCTGCGTTGCTATATTTTCTGAAAGCACAGGCCCAGGTGAATAAAAATATGGTGCTACTAATTTTGTAGGTCCTGCTATAATTGTGCAAATGTTTATCAAATCAATATTAAACTGATAAAGATACACAATAAAATTGAGAACAGCACATTAAAATCAGTATCAGCGCACACACAAAAGAAGTTTCCAACTAAATCTAACAGACCCCTGACATTTCCTTTTTGACATAGAAAAAGAGATTGAGGATATAGAGTCCTCAATCTCTTTTTCTGCAGCCTCTGTTCTAAATGAATGGAAAGCACTTAGTACAGAGGCTTCCAATTCATTAAGAAACCGGTTATAGTAAAACGTTTACTATCAACCAATTTCTGAATGGGTAGAAGACTCTGTACTGAGTTGCTTCTTCCCATTTAGAAACTCATGAATAGACAGGACTTAATATAAAGCACTTCCTGTTCATTCATTACTGGGGACACATAGTACTATGTGTCCCCAGTTGTTTACAAACATTGGAATGAACAGCTGATCACTCCAGTGTTTGTGGTGCAAACAGAGGATCGGTAAATATCCAAGATATTTACTGATCCCCCGCTCGGTCATGTACAGAGACGCTGCCATCCTGAAACTGACAGGACGACAGTGTCTCTCCTCCCTGATCAGCTACGGCTCCTCACTGCTCCTGGTGGGAGGGCGCCCACAATTTTTGTTAATAGCGGTCATCAGTGGCCATGAGCTTAAAGCAGGAGGGTAAAAGCCACTGACGAATGGCATACCTAGGTGGCCAGCTGCAAGCAAGTACAAAATAAGTACAAAAACATATGTTTACAGGCATTTCTATTTTAGTCTATTGGGCCAAAAGCGCAGAAATCCGCAGAAAAGTATCTTCTGTACTTTTTCTACTGACCGGCGTTTTGCTACAGGCAACAGAATGCTCAGGTGTGAACAGGGGTCTTAGAAAACAATGCGGTTCATTGTGTTTAGTTTTTTGTAGCTCCGAGCTTTGAGTTGCAAAACACCTACATGTGAACAGGGACCTACAGTTCTGAGAAAACACTTTTACTTTTATTTTTTTCTCAGTAGATCATTTTGCTTCCCCTGCCAGCAGTGAGAAATATAAACACACAGCAGGTGCACAGGAAGAAAGACAGAAGATTGCTTGAATCAACTAGGACAACTTCTTTGCATTTTTTGCAAACTTTGAGGATGAATTGCCCCATGGTGCCTGCAGTTAAAGAGATCAATGAGAGCTTTAAAGCTCATTAAGAATATGTAAAGATTTGAACATCCATAGCCAGACCACAGTTCTACTTTAATGTTTCTTCAACACATTTGAATTTCACAGCTGGAGAAATGTTACCATTATAGAAGACCAGCTTATTTGTTCACCAAACACAAAGGTTTTCCATTAATATACTGTTGTTGTGTTGCTCATTTGACTACCCGTACTTCATTTTGAGGAACATGAGAAAGAATGTCACCCCCAAGATCCATTAATGCTTTTAAACAGGATATTTCTTTTTTTGCAGCTTCACTCAAGATAAACAAAGCAAGGAGTGGATCCAACCTAAACAAAAGAAATTGAACAATTATAGAAACATAAAAACATAGAAGTGTGACAGCAGAAAAAAAAGATCAAAACCTTTTTTTCCTATGGATTTATGTTTTTCCCATGCAACTTTTTTATGACATTATATGGAATCATATCAAAAGCTTTGCTGAAATCTAGATAGGTTATGCCCACAGCATCACCCTAGTCCAAAACATTTACAGGGTTATGCACAAAAGGGAAAAGGCAGGAGAAGTGAACAATCTAGGACAACATAGCTGAACTGGAAAGTGATCTGAATTGAAGGCTTTTTCCAAATCAGCTATTTTGGCCTAGATTGTTTACTTCTCCTGCCTTCTCCAACTTCTTCACCCTTCTGTGAACAACACTGTTAGAATAAACAACATGACGTTATTTATAAACTGTATAATAAAAAACAGAATCATAAAATTCATAGCAGGAAATGTATTTGATTATTTGTCCAGACTTAAAGTTAAAGAGTTAAAACTTTTTTTTTTATTTGTTTGTTTGGAGTAGGGAAAGATTAGAACCCCAGTTAGGCTTGTATTGCTGTCTATGCCCCTGCTATGTAGATTAACCTCCTATATTTATTCTGTCTGAGAGACAGTGGACACCAGGACTGAGGATGACTTATAAACAATTCCGGAGTCGAGGGGCATAGAAAAAAATATTTATTTCCTGTGTTCCTTTAGCACAATCTAGAGGCTATAATGTGATATTACAATCATAACATTTAGGGGGTTATTTACTAAAGGATGAAGAGCTTGGAGAAGGCAGTGAGTGAGCTGCCGGAGCTTCGGCTCAGTCAATCCAGATGTTGGATCAGCTGAGTCGAAGTCCTTCTGCACTTCAGCTCAGCCGAACATGCATAGCATCAGCCGTACAAGCCAGAAGTGAATAGCCGAACAGCGTTCGGCTCACTTCACTTCGGCTGCTTTGTGAATGACCCCCTAAATGTACAGGTCATACACAGAAGGAGAAAAGGGGTGAAGGGGTTGATGTACAGGTCACATACAGCATATGTACAGATATATAGCTGAGATGTACAGAAGAGGAGGGTGGTGAAAAGATTAAAAACAGTCCCACAATCGAATGACTACCTTGAATATCTGCTGTTGCCTGCTACCTTCTACTAATGATTAAATGATTCACTCATTAGTTCACCCTTCATTCCCCACCTTTGTTGTGAGAGGAAGGGGCTGGATCTCCAATGTACCCAGTAGTGTGTTTATATTTGTGAATGATGTGATTGGTTGATTGCTTCAGCTCTGCTCAGTGTGCCTGTGATCTGGGCTGTCCAATGATGGCTCAGATAACAGCTGTTAACGGGCGCACTGGTCGCCCGAGAGCTCATTTCTGGAGTAACATTTATGAATGGAGCTCCAGAAAGACACTTCCACCTCCCCGCCACTGTTTTTACAATACAGTGTTAGGGAGAAGGTTACAAAGCATTAATAATATACTACCATTCTAGTGTGTACAGATCTCCCCTAGAAATGTCATTCCCTACTCATGTGTCTCACTGTTGTTCTCAGCTTTTTTCCCTTGTTAAGGCAGTGGATTAATCAGGTGACCAAAGCAGGAAAGCCCTCCCACTCATCACTCATTAGACGGCATGAAGTAGGATGTTAAAGAAATGAATGTGTGAATTTCAAGTGAAATGGCAGCTGGTCAGAATCTACATTGAAGTTTGCTCAAATCCATGAAAACTATGTAATTGAGTGTATTTTATGAAAAAATATGGATTTACACTTTAACTGAAATGTTGTAACCGATGGTGAAAGTGGCAACCACTAGACAATAGAAGGTCATACTGCAGGAAATACAGTACTATGATCTAAAAGTTACTTATGTGTCCAAGGTCCCCTTTTACTTGTTATGTCTCTTAACACACAAGCACCCTGCAATTCTAACAGCTCTTCCTGTGAATTGCATATGTAGAAATGTCCTACATACCTCTAGATGCTTCTTAGATCTATTTAATTAACTGCAAGTTCAGTTTTTAATATGAAGTTGCATAAATAATTTAGAATTCATTCTAGCTACATTTCACAGATGGCACATTAAGCAATATAAAAACGTATGTATTTATTTCCCAATTGACTGTCAAAGTTAATTTTCTTCTACTTACTTGATGAATTATGGAAGCCCGCATAACAAAAATGAGGCATATGCTGACAGAACATTTAAGAAATAGGAACGTTAATAATGATTGACTGCCTTAATAACTCATATCAAATGTATAAATAATTACAACTTAGTCTATCAATAACGAAGAAACTTTTATCGCATTGTCTCTGCAATCCATCTGTTGTTGGTTTTTACAGCATTCTTATATTAGCATTTTTTAAGTCAACAGGAATTTAAAATATCAAATGAAAATGGCCCTGCTGCCACAAGAGAAACCAAGCATCATCCACATAGCACCACTTCTGGGGACCTTAGCCCTGCCTGGGCTGCTGAATATACTGTAACAAAGAGCACAAGAATTGCTTACTACAGGGAGAGGTTCCTGCTGTACAAATGCCTTTTTAAAGGCCAATCCAGACATGTCCATTCTTTGGGGTTGCATTAACGCACATGCATTGTGTCACATGTTAACATGCATTTTGATAAGACAGCCTATTTAATTGGAATGGGCTGCCAATGCACAAGAACTGATCAAAAAACAGACATGTAACATACTTTATAGTACTGGGGTAAAGTGTGTTGTGCTGCGCTGCAATGCCTGTGCATCAGAGCTGCTTAATTTCCATGCTCCTCAGGTCCGTCACGTGACCATACTGTAGTATTTTTCAAATGTTACATTCAACCTGAAAATAAAATATACTAACAAAGTTCATTTTTGCCTCTATTCCCGCAGAACAAACGTTCACAGAGAATCGCAGGGTAAAAGGTTCTGGGAGCTGTTTTTAAATAGACCCTAAAGAGTTTTAGATTGCTCTTCCTTAATTTTCTGTTTTAAGAGACTGACTACACAGTAGAAAAGAAAAAAAGAAATACAGATATAAGTATAAATATTTATGAGTTAATATTTTAGAGCTGTCTAGCGGCTCACTTAGCCGCTGGCTTCTTATATATCTTGGATATTTCAACAGTGAGATCTGTCTACCATAGTACCCGACTCTATTCCTGTCCACGTGTCCCTGTCCACCTACTGTTACACTCTCCAAATTATAACTCATAAATCCAACAAGGAGAGTAGGGTCACTCCACAATGACCACATAGGTTGTGCAGATCTGGGAACTCAAGAACAGAGATCTTGCCAGAAATGAGAAGCTGCCAAGTGATATAATGCTCCAGCATCTAGCCAAAACTTAAAATGGTTTGGTGTAGATTAACCATTTACACAATGCCAATAGTTAATTCCCATTACAGTAGCTTTTTAATCAAAATGGTAAATCTGGTATTCTTTAAAAGGAGTTTGTATAAAATGACTCACAGGATATCATTAAGGGTTAATACTGGGGCCAAATTTTGTTTGCATTGCATGTAATTTTTTATTTCTGCACATCTACTACTCAACAAGCTAACATCCTGTTATCTTTGCAAGTGACACAATGTAACATACTCATAGAAGAGAAAAGGTAGAGACAGAGAAACAGTGAAGCCTACAAAGAGAATCACACAAGGTACGCTGCTCTAGGATTAGAATAAATGCATCCTTTTTATTCTGACTTTATCTCTCATCATAGAACTTAGCCAATCTCCAATAAATGCATAGACACACCAGAGCAACGCTTGAGTATTAGTACATAGGGTCCAACACTGATCTCTTTCTACCGATGAGGGCCCTTGGTATGGGCACCTTTTTAGCAGTGAGGGAGTTTGTAAGTAATTCTAAATAAAAGATTAAGACTAAAAGAGACCTTTTACTGAAATTGATTTATTTATGTCTCAATCAAACATATCTTAAGATCGGTTTGCGTTTACAGATGTAGACGCACAAGAAAAAAAACTTTGTGAAAAGGTCAGGGAAGGTTCACAATATTATGACGGTAATATATTTTAAAAAACAAACGCATTGCAAGAGTAAATGTCTATGTAAATTTCTAGTAATGATATGCCACTGGTGGAATAAAGTCAGCTTCATACAAACCAGTTTTCCTGATGAAGGTGTCCCTTTAGGAGAAAGAGATGCTGGATAATATCATGCAAATGTGTGCTATTATTTCTGATGTGCTGCCAAATGAGAAGACAGTGCCAAAGGAATGGGCTTATTTCAGCTTCTCCTGGATGCATACTCAATTGGTCTATAGAGACTGGTTGTTTCTGCAATATATAACAACAAATGTCTAAGTATAATGTTCATAACAAATATTTCTTAGATTTTTGCTGAAATCAGAAACAAATGTGTAACTCCAGGATATTCTAACCTATGTTTGTACCATATATACGTTACTAAAATATGTCATTTTTATATATCACCTAAAAAAATGCAATATAATTTCTTATAATAATGCAGTATTATTTTTACACACACACACACACATTATATATATATATATATATAAACACCCATGTTTTTTTTTATTATTCATGCATTTATATAGATACACCTGCTACATATAAGCATACATAACCACAATAGTACCACTGGAGCTTGGGCTAAGCATTGATGGACAGATGTCTGTAAATGACAGGTGTCTGTAGCACTGGTTTCTAACAAGTTTAGGTTTCTAACAAGACATAGGTTTAAACAGCTTACTCCTCATCTCAGTGTGACATAGAAAAATATGTATGCTGCCATTGTTGAACTGAGAATGCTAATAGCCTTATTGTCATACTAATGCTTTTCTTCAGAAGTCACTGACCCATCATCAATACACAGAAGAGGAATTGCAACTTCTTGTTGGCTTTCACATGATACATGCTTGTACAGAAGCTAAATAGAGCCAGGCAGCTAGCATTTTAGGAAGAATCCCAGCAATGGTTTAGAGCTGCAGCTAACGATTATTTTCAAAATCGATTAGTTAGCCGATTATTACGTTCGATTAATCGTTATTGAAAAAGTTGACAACTTTTTCACTAATCGATTATAATCGATTATGTCGATTAGTTGTTGCAGCCCTACAATGGTTGCCCCTTTATTTTTCTCCTGACAGGTATACTGTCACTGTTTTAAAACCTAGCATGCATCACTTTATTTAAAACAGTTAAAGTAGAACTTCGGCCAAACTGTAAAATCACATACAGTCAATGCCAAAAATATTTGCATCCCTGCGTTTCTGTCAGATAATGCACCACTTAGTGCAGAAGATTGTTGCAATTACAAATGTTTAGGCATTCTCATGTTTAATTATTTTGTTTCTATTGGTATGACACAAAAAAGTGGGGAACAAAAAAAGCCCCCAAAAAACTCCAAAAATGGAATGGACAAAATGATTAGCACCTTCTCTAAATTGCAAGAAATAATTGCATTCCAAGTTTTTGTGGAAAAGCATGGACAATCTCAGGGTTACAAGTCCATCTCCAGAGATCTTAATGTTCCTGTGTCCACTGTGCGCAACATTGTCAAGAAGATTACGACTCATGGCACTGTAGCTAATCTCCCTGGACGTGGACGAAAGAGAACAATTGATTAAAGATTGCAACAAAGGATTGTTTGGTGGATAAAGACCGTCCATCAACTGCCAGACAAATTCAAGCTGACCTTCAGGCACACGGTACAACTGTGTCATCTCGCACTTTATGTCACCATCTGAATGAAAAGGGATGCTAGGGTAGGAGACCCAGGAGGACTCCACTGCTGACACAGAAACATTAAAAAGTCAGATTGGAGTTTGCCAAAATCCTTCTGGGAGAATGAGTTGTAGACAGATGAAACAAAATTACAGCTTTTTGGTAAAGCCCATCATTCTACTCTTTTCAGAAAAAGAAATGAGGCCCATAAAGAAAAAAATACAGTCCCTATAGTCAAACATGGTGGAGGTTCACTGATGTTTTGAGGTTGCTTTGCTGCTTCAGGCACTGGATGTCTTGACTGTGTGCATGCATGGTATTATGAAATCTGAAGACTACCTAAGAATTCTGGGGTGCAATGTAGGGCCCAGGGCTTCCAATCTGAGAGACCTGGAGCAGTTGGCGAAAGAAGAGTGGTTCAAAATTCCTGTAGCGAGGTGTAAGAAACTCATTGATGGTTACAGTCCATTTTTGGAGTTTTGTGTGGAATGTGTCAGATTTGGCTTTTTATGTGCCAGACCAATAGAAACAAAAGAAATAAACATGAGAATGCCTAAACATTTGTAATTGCAACAATTTTCTGCACGAAACGGTGCATTATCTGACAAATGCAGGGGTTCCAATATTTTTGGCCATGACTGTATGTGATGCCCATACTATTAGGGCTATGTTCTCTGTGTTCCTAAGTGCTTCATGGAACATTTTTTAATATCTGCTACTCCTTTCAGTAGAACCATTGGATAGGCACTTCCTTTGATAGAGTGTGAACACTCTTGTTGGCACTGATCGTAGTCCAATCAGTGAACAGTTATGCTTTGCTCCACCCACAGCTCTTTAAATTGACAGCACATTGCTCTATCTGCAGGATCTTGGAGAAAGATGTAAAAGTCCTGCTTAGTCCCTCCCACTTCCTTAGGCGCTGTCTAGCAGAATGCAGGAGAAATCCAGCTTTACATCTGCATGTAGCATTAGCAAACAGGGGAAATTACATTTATTTAAAGACATTTAACAAGACTTGACTTGTCTTGCCTGTTTATCACTCTGAGAGGAAATATCAGCAGGCTTTGGATGAACTTTAAAATAAAATGTAAAAAATAATAATTAAAAAAAGATTATTGATACACAGGAATTGGCAAAAATAACTAAACCTATTTTTTTTTGTAAAAGCAATGGGTAAATGATCCAGACATCTTGTTTAAAGGGTTAGCCCACCCAGTATTGATTTTACACTTTTAGATTGATGTTGAGAATTGATTCACATACTAGTTTCTACTGTCATAAATGAACAAATACATTTCATGTAAATAACAGTCGTGTGTTAAGATTACATTTTATTCCATTATATTCCATTATATGTAAACCACTGTATGATTTGATTGAGCGTTCTGTTGTGAACAGCAGTGTAGTAATTAGGGATGCACAGATACTTTTTGAGTACAGTGCAGATACTTGGCATTTTCATGAGAACTACCAGGGTTGCAGCGGTTGCAGCTGGGACCGGGCTCTGGCACTCCACCACTGTCCTGAAATCATTAGTCTGTATTGTTTTACAAAAACTGTCACATGACAATAAACAAAAATGTATCAGTACTCGTACTTGTAAGTACTCGGCAAATACCAGTACTTGTACTTGCAAAACTGGTATCTGTGCATCCCTTTATTTATATTTATAAAAACAAAATCGTACATTAAAACAGAGATGTACAAATTCCGGGAGCTCCGTGTGCTCCTTACAAATGACAGCGGCCTCCTAATTTTTGAATTTTTCTCTAGTGTAGTCTTGGAGCTCAAAAGTATCGGTACATGTACTCGTACTTGTACCGAGTACTGTACTTGGTATCTGTGCAACCCTAGTAGTAATAGAAACTTGTTATAGAGTTTCATTTTTTACATACAGTTAGCACACTCATTTCTTTAAGATGGTAAATTCTATAATACATAGGGCATTTGGTTGAAGTAGAACATATAAACAAGAGTGCTGAATAATACAGGTGTGATATATTGCATCATTCTACACTCCTATACAGAAAAGAGTCAGACCACTCGAAACTTATATTTTACTTACAGGTGGTTGCTGAAGGGCTGCATCATCTACAGGCTTACAATATGCCTTAAGGTGCCCATAGACCTTACAATTATCTGCAGATTTCCTGTGGTCAGATTGAAAAAGTGCAACAGATTGGCCCAGGTGGAGATTACTCCATCCACACAGTTAAGTGTAGATGGAGGAATCTGTTCCACCTTTTCCATCTGACCACAGAAAATCTGCAGATAATTGTAAGGTGTATGGCCAGCTTTAGGGACTCCAGACCTTTGCACTGCAAGTACTGATTTGTATTCAAGAACACATAGAGCTTCAACCCCTCTGTTTTAGCTTAACCTCAAGAATGTAATATTTGAAAAGAATTCATAAAAATATTAAATTCCATCTTAAAAAGAAAAGCTCAAAACACTCTTTATACTGTAGTAATAGAAACATACTCTGTTGTTTTACTAGGACTAGGAACTGCTACTGTATTTTATTTGAGTGCACAGGATTACCATGCATAGACAACATAAACAACAGTGAGATGCAGCTCTATTGTTTGCAAAGACCATTTGAAAGGATCACTTTGCACAACTTTAAGCAATCAACACAATTAAAAAATATATATTTTGACACTGATATATCTGTGCACTATATCCCAGCAATTGATGTCAAAAGACATGGAACCTCATACAGCTGAACTAAAAAAAAAAAATATTCCTGTTGATTAAACTTTCCTGCAGAATTTCAACGATCTATGACATTCTCACCTTTGTTTTGTTTGTTTCCAGGTCAACCTTTAAGTCACAAATAGCTTCTCCAACCTTTAACATTATGTGCACAGACAAGAGAATATTTGGGTATGGTTCATAAGAGGCTTCACATGTGGGCAATGCTGTAAAAAGAAAATGGCACTTTTATTTATTTTTTAAATAATGTTAACAAAACAAGAGAAAAACCTCAAAGAACAAATGTTAAAAATTCCTAGTCCATCCACAGACAAGCTACCGTATTTTGCGGTCCATAAGACGCAGCGGACCATAGGACGCAGGGAGGTCCGGCGCGCCTTATGGAGCCCTCGACAGACCGTAGCTTCTGTCACAGACAGAAGCTGTGACAGAAGCTGCAGTTAGTGACCGCTGAGACAGGTGGCGCTGTGATTACAGCGCCACGGTCTCAGTGATCACACAGAGCAGACAAAGAAAGTCCGTTCTTCGCCTGCTCTATGGTTATCTCGATCGTCGCCACTGCTCGGTTTTAATACGAGTGATCTCATTAGATCACTCGTATTAAACGAGCAGTGGCGCCTGCTGCTGATCACGATCGCCGCCGCTCGTTTTTAATACGAGTGATCTCATTAGATCACTCGTATTAAACGAGCAGTGACTCCTACTACTTTCCCGGCGCCCGAAACTGCATGTCTCGGGCGTCGAGATTCGCTCCATAAGACGCAGGCACATTTTCCCCCTCCTTTTGGGGGAAAAAAGTGCGTCTTATGGAGCGAAAAATACGGTATCTCTCTCTCTCTCTCTCTCTCTCTCTCT